AAACCCCATAGGCCCTTAAACACAAAAGAAAAAGGAAGTTTATTCCCTTGGACCCATGGAATTCATCAAGCCGGTTTCCCCGTCCTTTGCTGGCAGCAAGTCTTTCAAGGAAACTGCTGTACCTTTTTTGCTCCACCTGCCTAACCCAATTCTGGGGGTAACTGATGCCAAAGGTCTGTTATTCCTGTATTTAGTCTTCCTGATGAAATCTAAAGTCTTGGGGGAAGAGTTTTCCATGGTCAACTTCACTCTTTCTTACTAGGGACATACTGATGTGAGAATCGCAACCACAACTTCAATAAGGCTTTTGACGACTGAGGAGAGTAAAAAAAGAATACCACTGACCCACAGGCTTTAGTTAAAGTGCCCCCACCGCCGTTTTTAAGCATGCGATGCCGAATACACGAGACACTGCAGGCACTTTAATTAAAGCGGCTCTCTGGAGCTGCTCTAATTAAAGCAACCCACCCCCAGAGCATGTGTAAAGACATCTAATGCCATAAAAGGTCCTACATACATGAGATCACTTCCAGAAGTAAGGGACACATAAGAAGGTTGAATAATGGAAAAAGGAGCTTGTGACAAACCACTCAACCCACAAGTGGAGCCACGTACACATAGCAAGGGGTCATTCTTAAGAGAGTCACTAAATAGTAATACTTTCTCTTAGCCACTGTATATTCCCTTTATACTAATTTACAGAAATGGTCTTAAGCATTTTGTTCCACTTTAGTAGCTTTCCATTTTGTGTTGAAGTGAATGATACATTTCAGAACATCTCTTTTGTAAATATTTCTGCAACTACACATAGCTGTAATTTTAACATGAGATGCTCTATTTCAATATGCTATTGAAATGACTATTAAAATGCATCAGTGAATTCTAAAATTATAAGATTTAGTGCAGAGTTTGTATTTCCAGTTGTAAGGAACAATATCAAATACCAATTTAAAGGGAGGAGGGGTTACTCAATATTTTATGTTTGAAGCCAAACTGTGCCTTCTGTGGTAAAATTGAAACCTTTGAATTTTTAAATAAATTAAACATTTGAGAAACTAATGAAATCTTCCATGCTTCACATGTGATCTAAGGGCATTAAGCTAACCTCCAAAATTCAATCAATAGATTGGGGAAGTAAATGTCCCAAAAGCACTGTCAGCTCCCAAAACTTTTGGCTAAACCAAAAATGGGCATTCAGCAGAACCCCTTAAATTAATTATATACTATAATCTGAAAGAGGATTTAAGACTAAGCTATCTAAATCAGTCAACATGCATTTCATGGCACAGATACAGAATCTCAGGAACCAGATATGACTTCTAAATGAAACCTATGTGAGCACAGCACCAACATTGATTTCAGCAGTTTCAACTTCTGTAAGGCAAGAAAACTGGGTTCTGGGGCTGGAAAATAGGCTGGTTTTGACTTCAAACAAGCAAAAATTTTAAAGAAGGCATTGAATCATGAGGTTGCTATACATATAGAGGGAGACAAAGTTAGGACCTAAACATGGGAGAAAAAATGAATTTATCACAACTGAAACAAACACTGAACACACTTCTCCACTTTAACCTTTCTATATTTTTAAATACACACTTTCTTTGTAGTTTTTTTAAAAGTAAAATACAAAATATAGCATTACTGGCGATCATCTGAACATGGTACTACAAATCCATGAATTGATCACAGTAAATTATGGGATGTGTCTTGTTCAGTTTTTTTTTTTTTAACTGGTGACCAATTTAATACTTTCTAAAATGTAATATTGGTTATAAAATAATTGTGATATATAGATAACTGTAAAATAATTTCTGATAAATTACTAAGAAACTAGTTCTGTACTGCATACTATGCAGAAGTTATCAAATACCACAAAAATAAATTTTAGTTCTGGTCTCTGCATCTCAAAAAGGATGCAGAAGAATTAGAAAAGGTACCCAAATGGGCAAGCAAGATGATCAGGGGTATGGAGAAGCTGTAATGCCTGGGCAAACTGGAAAGGTTATGACTCTTCAGTTTGGAAAGCAAAAGGCTATGGGGCAGAAGTCTATAAAATCATGAAGGGTGTGAACGAAGTGAACAGGCAACTGTTAATCACTGAGGGCATTTTTACATGTGCTCCTGGCACGGCGCCATATGCTTTAATTAGCGAGCTGAGCTAATTAAAAGCACCAGCGTGTCATGTGTATCAAGGTCTCCGCGCTGACAAAAATAGCGGTGGTGCGCTTTGAACTAAAACTCATTGGACGTGTTATATTTCAAAGCGCACGCCGCCGTTTTATCAGCGTGGAGACGCATGGCAGAGCTGATGCACGTGATGCATGAGGCTGCCAGAGCTCATCAAGTTCACGCTCCAGCAGACTCGATTCGAGTCTGCTCCGATGCACTGGATTTCCAGCGCATCTCCCCACGTGTGTGTAGGAGCCTTAAGTCCCAGAATACTAGAACTAGGGAAAACCCACTGAAATTGGACTAGACAGGTTTAAAACTAACAAAAGAAAGTATTTTTTTTTTTAATGTAGTATATGGTTCACTTATGGAACTCATTCCCACAGAAGGCTGAAGAGGCAGGTAGCATAGCCAGGTTCAAAAAGAGACTAGAGAAATTAATGGACAATAGATCCACTAGCTATTAAACAAAACAGTCAGGAATATATCCTCTGGCATCTCTGAACCAATGATGGTAGATGCCAGGAGGGGTCTGATGGGATAGATCACTCTCTATATTCTTAAAAGCAAGGGCCAATTTCTGGCCTCATTTACACTGTAGTCTTGATGAGGATGCATATGGCCCTAACAATATGCAATATAAACACCATCCAGAATTGGCAGAAAAATAGATATGAAAACCCTGCCCACAGCTAACTCTGTTAATTCAAATACAAAAAAAACCCTCAGGATTTCAGATACTTGCATAATTCCTGTGATCCTAAATATATGCAGATATCTGCACCAAAGGTAAATCTATTTGACTTCAAGTGGAACCTTATCAAGAATGTCTTTTCCTAAACATGTTTCTCTTCAACCTTTTCCAAATATTTAATTCTTTTTTTCCTTTTCATATCTGCCATGCAGCTAGTCAAAACTCCATTCTGTTCACTTCTCCCTCTGGACCTAATCTCAAAACTCTTGCAAACCCAAAATTTCCATTGAAATCAATGGGACTTTGGAGTGCACAAAGAGCATGCTATCAGTCACAATCTGTACAGGATCATAAATAATGATTGTTGGAATAATTACAGTTATTTGAATTGAGTGTAGTTATTTCTTTGTTGCTGTAGCAACTGCAAAATATAACACATTTTAAAAATAACCATCTTGGCAAAACATGTTCCATCTAAAAAATGAGAGGAAATAAATTTTATCAAAAGACACCTCTATTCAGACCACAACAATCTTAAATAAATCAAAATCTGATTTTAAGTAAATTCACCATAACCTTTTAAAGCACTGCTTGGGTGGCTTGCAACCAGAAGATGAAACTGCTGTGTTACTTTTTAGTCTGTTTTTTAATTTTTTAAAAGAGATTTCTGGAATGTTTTCCTTCTCCATAGGCAGACAAGGTTCTTTGGGTGAATCTGATCTCTTTCATTAGACCAACTTAAATAGTTGGAAAACAATTATTCCCTCTCCATACTGTTTCTCCAACTACTAGACTAAGGACAACATTTTCAAAAGCACATAAAAGTGGAGGCAAAATCTGATCTTGAAAAATGACTTGGGGTCAGATTTTTAGATGCATGTAGATACCTGTAAAGCTAACAAACACTTTCTGGGTTTTTCTGGAGCCCAAAGGAATCAAAGTCCCATCAAAATCAAAGAGGGTTAGTCCTTTTGGAACACTAGTAGGTAACCAGCTGCATACTTAGGTGCCAGAATGCCTTTGAAGATCAGGGCCCTAGACATCTAAGAGGCAAAGTTCCCTTTACTGTCAATGAGATTTAGGATCCCAAATCACTTAAACGCTCCTGAAAATTTGACCCAGAGTGCTGAAGTCATGTTGTAAATGTGACTTAAACTCCTAAATTATTTTGGCGCTCTCTCTAACCCCTCAATCACATTAAATCTCTTGTTGCTCTGGTCTCAGACTTCTTTTCTGAAGTCTCTTTACCGTGTCAATTAACAGTTAACCACAACATTGGCGTGTTTACGTAATATACATTATGATGTACTATGACATACTCAGAGTGCCGATATCATCCCACATAACTACATCATACAGGTATTTTATACAGACTGCATCCTTAGAAGTTGCTTGGAAAACTACATTGGAATGCAAATACCAGCCTGTATCCTCTGACACTGCCTAAAATTCACCGTTCCCATTAATATTTGTGATCCAAAATGAATGAAGTCTCAAAAAGCAAACAGTATAATATAAATAGTATAAATTGTCTAGATAACCACACAGCAAAGATTTCTTCAAAGCAAAGCTGAGAAGTCATGAATAAGCTCTTTAAAAAAAAAAAAAAAAAAAAAAAAAATCAGTCGCACTGTTCAGGCAAGAGAAACAATTCTTAATTCCAAAATCTCTCCTTTAAACAAAACAAAACAAAAAAAAGTAAAAAAATGTAACACAAACCCACATGCCAAGATCTGAGAGATTATTTTCTCATCTCCCTTAGTGTCAATGGGAGGTAGCTTGCACAGACTACGTTCCCGAAAGCAAGCAACTGTATTGTACACTACAAACACAGGGAATCAGATTGCCACCTACAGGTAAATTTAGCATTTATTTTCAGGAATTGACTAAACAAGAACAAAATTATCATTGTGACAAGCCCTCTTCAGATCTACTCTTATTCAAAAAAAAAAAAAAAAAAATAGTACTTGCTCGAGTACCTTAATTATACCTCGAATGTCCCAAATCTAGAAAGCAAACACATTGCTCCGCAGTTCTAAAACAGCATTACTTCACAGACTTCAAAAACTCATGTAGACCAACTTAAAAGAAGCGGATTACAGTGAGGTTTCAGCTAAAGAATTTTAAATCTGCTTACCTGATACAATTGGTGCTAGCCTGAATATGTCTGATAATCTGCTGTTAACTGGTTCATAGGGGGAATCTTCAAGCAAGTCATTTCCTAAGGACAACAAAAGATTTGGATTTCTTTCACACACTTTTTTTGGGGGTAGGGGGGAGGTTTTATTATTTATTTCCATTCTAAATGAAATCGGATTGGGTTAAAGCTGCCCTGAAACATTCAAATGCTCTTCTCGTTAACCTGTTCATGTTAGAGGAGGGAAACTAAGGGTTATGTATGAGCACACTTGAGAGGAAGGTTTCCCACCTCCTTGCCATTAACTCCCTCCCCTTTTCCTCCCTGGAATGAAGTCACAAATCTGAAGAGACAGTCTGTGACATCACAACCATTTCCTGTCTTCAGGTGCCAAGAAGAGAGCTGCTGGGAAGGGGAAGTTCCCTTTTACTTGCATCAGACCTTGGCTTGAGAGAAAAAAAGATCAGGGACCATTTGGCACCTGGCATCACTGAAAGTAACCCTCCTAAGAAAAAGCTTTCCTGGGAGGAGAGAGATTTACAGTGCGTAAAGTGTCCAAAGGAGGAGTAGAGCGATTGATTATGAAAGGGGTAACCAACAGATGCTTAGCTCCTTGAAACAGTCCAATTGACATTTTGTTGGATAAACTAACCAAAAACCCAACCCAACAACAATAAAACAATAAAAAGGTGGAAATGCTTTCAAGATGAATGTTTGAGGCAAGCACCAGGCAGGCAGGAGCCAGCACTGCCCATTGACCTGAGTGGGAATGAGAGGTCCTTAATGCAGAATCCTGCCCGGGTGATGTATACATCTCTACTGACTAAGGGCCCCTCCTGTCCCCAGCAGCTGGTGGAAGATTTGCCAAGGACTTCAGTGGGCGTGGAGCAGGTCCTGCCAGTTCCTCCTGTCATTTCTAATCAGCTCCTTTGCCATGCTCTGCAAAGTAAGGGGCCCTCTCTCACACATCTGTCTCCGGGTGGGTTGCTGTTGGTAAATACAAGGGCAGGGAAAGAAAGACTAGACTTCTTTAAAAGAACCTGGACCTCACATCTACTCTGCCCCTGGAAGCTAAGTAGCTATAGTGCCCCTGGGAAGGGAGAGCTAGTTAACAAGTGCTTAAACTCCTGGGTCAGGGCGAAGTCACAGGTGGGTGGCTGCTGGAGCTTGCGCAAAGGCTCATGCCCTACGCTTCGCAAAGGTCAGCTGCGTCCCCTGGAGGAAACCCTGCCTGCAAATTTCCCAAGAGCGGCAGCTGGTCCTGGGTCAGAGGAGAGGTCCCGGCTGCGCAGCTGAAGAGCACGAGGGGAGCAGCGAGGCCAGCCCCTCTCTGCAGTGACACGGAGTGAGGCTGCGAGGGGCCGTGCGAGCATGCTGCGCTGGGGGGGGGAGTGGAGCGTGTCTGTGTTTCGCAACGTACCCTGTAAGATTTGGTACATGCTCCAGTAAATGCGCAGGCAGTTTTTCTCCTTCTTCATGCCCCTCTTGCAGCGGCAGTTGTACAGGGATTTCTGCTTCAGAGCCTCCATGGCGCTTTTGCATTCATCCTTCGCCTCCAGGCCCGTCGCCCGGCTGAAGTTGCTCTCTTTGCCGGCCACGCACTGCCTCAGTGTCCTGTATTTAGTGCTACAGCTCTGCTCCTTGAGACATTGATCGCTGGCTTTCACGCAGTCCAGGCGGTCCCCTCCAGGCAGCCCGCTCACTTCTGCGGACAAAAGTGCATCTGGAGACAGAGGAAACAAAGCCACAAAGTCTCTCGGGGAGAGAGCAGAGGGGCTCAGCGCCCACAGCTGCAGCCCAGGGGATCCTTGGGCAGCGCAGCTCCCTGCTGGCTCCGAACAGGGGCAGGGCAGGGCCGGGCCGTGCCTGGCAGCGCGCAGAGAGATGCCCCTCTGAGCGGCACTGACCCTAAGGGGGGAGTTTAAGGGCAGCAGGGGGACTAGAAGGAGCCCCCTGTACACAGGGGAATAGGGACCCCCTTCCCTAGCTCCACCGTGCCTCCCTCTCCCTCCTGACGCTGGGCTGGGGTGGGGGGACGACACACACGACATGCCCCCTCCGTTCCCACCAGGGCTGCAATTTCAATCAGGCCCCTTTCCCCCCCAGCTCTCAGTCTCTCTGGGCATTTATTTTGCTCTCCCCCATGCATTTTCAAGGTGTCCATCCATCCGTCCCCGTCCCCCCGCGCCTCCTGTCTCCTCTATTTTGTGTCTCGGGGCGGAAAAAACAAGTGGCATTAACCCCTTCTCCACCACCACCCAGCCCTCCCCCTTCCCCACAGCGCTGGCAGCAAACAGGATCGGGGGCTGGAAAGCCTGCCATCACCCACCCCCCCCACCCAGGAGGTGGGGTGGGTAGACAGAGGAGAGGAAAAACCCTAGTGGGAAAGTTTCCCTCCGAGTTGGGGCTGCCAAAAAATCCCCAAGTCCCGGGGAAACTTCCCCGGGGGGGCGTGGGGGCACTCACCCAGCAGGGGCAGCACGAGGTACAAGGTGGGTAGGAGCATCCTGGCGGCGGCCGGGTCCCCCCGGAGCGGCGGTGCGGCGGAGGGGCTCAGCATGCGTGCAGCCCGGCGCGGGGAGGCTGCGAGCCCGGCAGCTCCATGGAGGCAGCGGCGTT